GCTTGAGGTTGACCTCCTGTCTCCCAGTATTTATTTTATCTTTTTTTTTTTAAGAGGTTTTTGCTATAGGGTGCATGTGCTCACCAGACAGAGAGAGACAGAGAAACAGAAAACGAGAAATCACCCCCTGGGGGGGGATGGTCACGCCGCAATCCCTTCTCCTCTATTCTCCCCCGGGATCTTGGGCATGCACGCACACACACCCAGTGTGAGTTTTAAACCACCAGGTCCGGGACTCGAACCGCAGTCTACTACATGGGAGTCCAGCGACATAGCCATTATGTTAACTGCTGGTCCCTTTATTTTATCTTTTTTGAGAGGTTTTTGCTATAGAAGGCACGTGTGCCCACCAGAAAGAGAGAGAGAGAGAGAGAGAGAGAGAGAGACAGAAAGCGAGAAATCACCCACCCCAGGGGTGGGTGGGTGGGATGGCTATGCAGCCATCCCTTCTCCTCCATTCTCCTCTCGGGATCTTGAGCACGCACGCACACGCGCCTGGCATGAGTTTATGTCACCAGGACCAGGACTCAAACCGTGGTTGACTACATGGCAGTTCAGCGACATAGCCATTACACCAACTGCTGGTCCTTTATTTATTTTATCTTACTATGGATTTTCAGGAAGGCAATCAGACAATGAGGGCATGGCATTCCCCAGTGATGGTTACTGATCCACAGAAGTGGCCCCAGAAAACTGAAGAGAAGGACTCGGAGATTACATGAGTCAATGCAAAACTATGTCTGTTATTCTCTTCCCTGTTGAATGTGGACAAAGAAACAAGGACGTTCTCTTACCACTTGTGGTCTTCTCAAAATTATGAGATAAAACACCTTGAGGATGTGATGATGCTGAAAACAGAGGGAAGAGTCAGAGGGCAGAGGAAAAAAAGGGCTTCCTGTCGATAAAACTGAGCCAGCATCTACCTCTAGACAATTTCCTTAAGCTAGTGTGAGTAGGAAGCATATTACCTGCAGACTATAGTGTCTTAGGCAATGCAAGCAGGGAGCCCATTGAAACATTTTTGATGTGATGTGATCCACAGTCTCAACCCTACAGGAGACAAACTGCCCAATAAATGACTTTAGTGAAATCATATGAAACTTACATCCAACAGAAAATAGAAAAAGGCCTTACACAGGCACCTCAGAAACAAGCAGATTCAAATGACCACAAACACTTGAAAATATGCTCAAACGCGTTAGTAATCATGGAAATGCAAATGAAGCACAGTGAGTCAGCAACCACAACCACTAGATTAGGAAACATTTAAAATAAAGAAAAAGCATAGTTAACAATATTGTATATTTACAAAGTTGTAGAACAAGAAAACTTTTAAAAACTGCCAGCAGGTGGCATAGGGGTTAAGGTGCTGGATCCCCACGTGGTCGACTATGATTTGAATCTGAACCCAGAGGCTTAAAACTCACACTGGGCACATGTGTGTGCATGCCCGAAATCCCAAGAGGAGAATGGGGAAGGGACTGCAGTATTACCATCCGACCTGAGGGGTGCTTTCTCACTTTGTCTCTCTTCCTCCAGTGAGTACACATACGCTATAGCAAAAATCTCTCTCTCAAAAAACAACAACAAAACTGCTTGTGAAGGCCAACTGATGGCATGGTGGTTAACTGGATCGCACATTGCTAATTGTGGTTTGAGTCCTGAATCCATCTGATGGCTTCAGAAATACAACGGGCACATGTGTGTGCATGAGTAAAATCCCCAGAGGAGAATAGAAAAGAAGGGATTGTTGTGTGGCCAATCCTCCAGGGGTTCTTTCTCATTTTCCCTCTCTTTCTGTTTCTGTCTCTCTGGTGAGCACATATGCCCTATAGGGAAAACAAAATGAAGAAAAAAGAAAAAAAAAAACAAAAACTGCTTGTAGGATGGAAAAGTGAGACAATCACTTTGGAGACAGTTGAAGGTTGTAGATGTGCATACTCCATGACCAAGCAATCCCACTCTAAATGTGTGTAGTGGAGGAGATCGTTTGCACGTGCTTTATGGCACGTGAACGTTCATGGGAGCACACGTTTTGCTTTTTTAGAATTATTTCATTTAACTTTATTTATTTATTTATTTATTTATTTATTTATTTATTTATTTTTAATTTGGCCAGAGAGGGATAGAGTGAGAGAAAGGGAAAGTGAGAAAGCAAGCCTCCAGGTCCAGGACTCAAACTGCGGTTGGCCATGTGGGAGTCCAACTCTCTTAACCACCACGCCACCCACTGGCCCCCATGGGAACATATTTTATAATAGCTAAAAAACTGGACAAAAAGAAAAGCCTAATATATTACAAGGTATGCATAGCCTAGAGCATTGAAAATAGACCAACTATATAACATCTACCTAGTTAAGTCTCACACGCAATGTTTAGTAAAAGAAATAAGACTCAGAATAAGGGAACCAGCAGTTAGCATAATGGCTATGTCGCTGGACTCCCATGTAGTTGACTGAGGTTCGCGTCCCGGACCCGGTGGCTTAGAACTCACGCCGGGCATGTGTGTGTGCATGCCCAAGATCCCGAGAGGAGAATGGAGGAGAAGGGATTGCGGCATGACCATCCCCCCTGGAGGGTGATTTCTCACTTTCTGTCTCTTTGTCTCTGTCTGTCTGGCGAGCGCACATGCCCTATAGTGAAAAAACCTCTCCAAAAAAAAAAAAAAAAAAGACTCAGAATAAGTCACCCAATATGACTTCATTTATGAACATGTACAGGGATGCACACATAAAACTACAAAGCAAGGCAGATCGTGATCACAATTAAATAAATAAATAAATAAAGATAGTGGTGGTGTCCAAGAGAGGGAATTGAAATTGGGAGGTGTCAGGTGATTTGAGGACTGGTTATAAAGGTATTGGCCCTATAATTATTATTTAAACCATACACAGAATTTACACATTCTTTTATATTGTTGATGCATCTCACACACAGAAACATGGGAAGTCAGAAATAAGATCATGGAAAAAAGCCAAAAATTAAAAAAGGTCTAGAGCTAGGAATAGGCAATGCGTGACTCCTGATGACCAGATTCTAGAAGACCTGGCCCCACACGGAGACTGTCTGGGTTGTTCTATATAATGGTCACAGGCTTGGTTTCATTTCATTACTATTATTCTAGCCAGGAACCTTTTAAAGATATTTTTCTTTAAGGTAAAAGTTGTATTCTTTTAAAAAGCAGTGGGTTGGCTCTGTGGACTAGTCCTCAGACAGCCTGAACCCACAGAACTAATGGCATGGTTTGAGTATCAGGCCCAGGGGCTTGAGAAACACACTGGGCACTTGTGTGTGTGTGTGTGTGTGTGTGTGTGTGTGTGTGTGAGCCCAAAATCCCAAAAGGAAGGAGAGATGGAGAAGAAGGGATTGTGGCATGACCATTTCTCACGCTTTCTCCCTTTCTGTGTCTCCCTGGCAAAAGCACATGCCCTATAGGGGAAAAAAAATATCTATATATATGAATTTTTCTTGACTTTAATACGAGTGTTATAAAAAAATATAAATTTTTCTCTCTCGAGTTTAATATGAGTGTTACTCATATATACTGCCCTTACTGATTTATTACACAGGTTAGCTCAGATTTGTTATTTATATGAATCTACAAAGACTTAAGTGAGCTGACCAGAGAGGGACAGACTAAGAGAGAGAGAGAGAGAGAGAGAGAAAGCGAGCTGTCAGGTCCAGGACTCAAACCGCAGTCAGTCATGTGGGAGTCCAGTGCCCTTAACCACTATGCCATCTGCTGGCCCCTGGTGATCTTTCATTCAAAAAAAACGTAATCACTGTGGGCCAGCAGATGGCCAGAGGGTTAAGGTGGCTGAATCCTACAAAGCATGCTTTGTAATTCAAATCCTCAACCTAGCAGCAGGAAAAACATGGCGGATGCTTGTGTGTGTGTGTGTGTGTGTGTGTGTGTGTGTGTGTGTGTGTGTGTGCCCAAAGTCCCAAGAGGAGAATGGAGGAGAAGGGAATGTGGTATTGCCATTTCCCCTGGGAGCTGATTTCTCTCTTGCTTTCTCCCTTTCAAGTGCATGTGCCCTGCAGCAAACAAACAAACAAAACCCAATCACCAGATCAAGAAATCCAGGAGGCCACACCCAATTCCTCTTGGGTAAGTAAAATGCGTACTAAGGGATCCAGACATTAACTTCATTCAGTTTCCTTGTAAAAAATTCCTTCATGCTCTTATTCCTTTTACTTATTAACTCTATTCTTATTTTAAGTATAAATCAAACATGCTCAGACATCTGTTTCTAAGAATACATCCCCTGAGAAAGGTAAAAGTAAAGGAAAAGGGCTGCTAGAGCCAGTGACACTGTGTAAGAAGACGGAAAGAAAAACATCGCACCTCTCCTAGGTTTCTGCAGGCATTTATTGTAGGGACAGCAACGAAATGTTAAATTAGAAATTGACTAAACTCCTTTAAAAAAAATCAGGAACATGTGCAATGCATAATGAATGGTTAGCAAAACTTATCATTCAAAAGAGTAAGTTGTATAGCTACTTTCCTATTAGAAATAAGCCATTCTGAGAGAATGCTAAAGATATCCATCTAAACCAAAGTCCGTGTGACTATACATGCATGCACAGATACAAATAAATCAATATATACATACAATAAATGCATATGCATGGGTACATAGATGTATACAGGAAAATATTCACCTATCGTGTGCATGTGTGCACACACGCGTTTGTGGCTTGGATCCCATGAAAGGGTTCAGAATTTGGATGGAATTCACCCTGATAGCTGAACAATTATGAAAAAGCAGCATCCTCAGAACAAAATGACCTTTTCATCAAGTTACAAAACATTAAAGGTTAAAGAATGTTTGAAAGGAAGTTAATATTTTTAAAACATTGGGAAAATTTGCCATCCTTTCCAAGACCTGACCAAAAATGAGAAGAAAGTGCTGGGTAGCCTTTGCAAGCCTTATATAGCGGGAAAGCATGACATGTCTGCACCGCGAGCTCCTGCTCGAAACCATGAATGAACCTACCTGCTCAGGAAAGAGACGAGACCTGCCCGTGATCAGCACCACACGTGAGCTCACGTGAGGAACCCTTAGCAGGTTGGTTCCTAATTGCAATTTTGAAGTCACATTTCTTCCTCTCGCGAGTAGCGATGGCAAAGAGAGCAAATCAATGAAAAGTGTCAGATTTTCCCAGCTTCTATTTTCCATCTGACCTGGATGGTGCAAATTCCAGTTGCTTCTAACGGGGAAAATAGAAATATCAGTGTAACTCCTTACCATACCCCTTCCTCTAATGAGCTCACTGAAAGGCCTGGAAGAATTGGCCTTATCAGTCCTGCAAATGCCCACTCTTCCCAGAAGTCAGGAAGCCTGTGTCCTGCCTACAGCAGCTCTCCCTTTTCTTTCTCTTTTGCCCCATTCCAAGCAATGCACTTGCAACTTCAGTTGCAGCCAGCAGCTCAGCATTTAAAAGCCTTTGTCTTCCGAGAGGCTGGCCTCATGGCAACCCTTCTCACACTGGTTCCTGCGGGTCATCATTTAAAGGAGAACTAGTGCATTCCCAGCTCTTGGCTCAGGTATCAACATGTAACATCCCTGGTAACCCTTGCTAGAGCTCTGGAAAGTAGACTTGGCCACAGACACACAGCAGTACCAGGGCCTTTTCAAACCCTGGTCTGACAGAAAGTTCCTAGTATGTAACCCAAAGAAAGAAAGAAAGGTTTCCAAGAAGGACCACTCATTTCCTCATCGCATTCCTACTTGGTGTTTAAGAAAGCTGTCTTGTTTCAGAGATGAAGATGAGTGATGACTGGCTCAAGGTTACTTAGTGAGTTATGGTCCCTGGCCCAGGCCCTCTGTCACCACAATCAGAGCTTGCATTCACTTGTACTGTACTGCTGCACACGTGTGTGCATGTGGAGCAGATCCATTGGGTGCACGAACCATGTATGTTACTCATTGAAACTTATCCTCAAAGATAAGTTCACTAGTTTGGGATCCTCATTGCTTCGCGTATTCATTGTGGGTCGTTGAGTTAGGGTGGGACCGGGTGCTGAGCTGCATAGTCAACCTCGACTTCTCCACCTTAGCTGCCTACCTTCTTGTGTCTCATGTGCTCTAATGACAGACATCCTCAAGAGAGAGAGGTCGTATTCTGGATGTTCAGGACAGGAGTGTGACTCCTTGACAAATTTCATTATTGGAGGATAACTGTGGCCCATTTTCAAGTCTCATTCTTCCTGGCTGACAAGTGAGGTCTGAGGAGGTGGGAGGAGGGTTCATGGGCTTCAAAGGGAGGTCTCCCTCCAGATACTGTGAGTTGACTAATAGCTTTCCCTAGTGGAGACCCTATTTCCAGGCACTCAAACCCACAGTGACCCAGCTGTGACTGAAGATTATTTTGGAAAGGAGGTAGGTACCCGAACTTACCTTTGTAGCCAGTTATCTTCCATCAAACCTGGGGCCAGATGCTCTTCTCCACAGATAACACACTGTTAAAAACACTGAGTGATACAAAAGGCTTCTTGTAAGTTAACCCTTCTGCTATTTCTTAATAGGGCAACATACTTTGAAACTATTGATAATATCTTAAGGTGATCAAAAGTCTTAATTCACTCTTAGGCCTGCCATGTGGCCTAGTGGTTAAGGAAGTCAGATCTTCCATAGTCAACTATGGTTTGAATTTCGGCTCCAGGAGTTGGAAAATCATGCTGGATGCATGTCCAACTGGATGAAGAAATGGAGAAAAAAAGGATTGGGGTGTGATCATACCCCATTAGGGGACAGGTATTTCCTCCCTCCCTTTCTTTGTCTGTCTCTTTCTGGTGAATGTGTATGCTCTCTGGCAATTAATTTTTCTAAAAAAAATTCACTCTCTCCAAAATGTGTATTTTGTACCTACTAGTTTTGCTTTATGTATTTACGAACAGTTAGCAAGCCAGCCAGGTGCTAAGAGGCAAGGGAGGATGATTACAGATGACTGACTTGTGCTGAGTCTGTCCAGGGGAGAAGTTCCTAAAGGGTGCTGGCCTGGAGCTCAGGCCACCACTCTGTGGACCATTTTGTCTGAGAAGAGAGGTGGACAGCAAGCACCCTTGGAGGCAGTTAGTTGGGACCCAACTCTAAGTCCTTCTGGGAAGAGGACAGCACAAGGTGCTCACCACTCCATAGCATAGAAGAGAAGACAACTGCACTTCTAAAAAACGCTGCTTCAAAAATAAGTTAGCAGAGTAAGGCTAATAGAGGTCTAAGCAGGGCCTCGGGGTATCTGGCAGGGGAATGGAGGATGGGGTGGAGGGAGGGAAGAGATGGTCTGGAAACAAAAGCTCTTCCATACTTGGCTCCAGCACAAGAGTCTTTGTTGAGTTTAGACCTCCAAAAGGAGGCAGGCC